TGGCCCTGTACTTTTCCCAACTCTCTTCAGACCCCTCACCCAGGTACTGCTTGAAGACTTCTCTACGTTCCCCTATTTCTTCTTTCAGCTCGTCATCCCACCACTTAACCGATACCCCACATCGTACCACCTTCTTTCCCACTACTCTCTCTGCCGCTGTGTTCACTATGGACTCCCATCCTTCAATCACCCTGTCCCCTGCTGCTTGTACGTCTACCTTTCCGTCTTCGACGCTTCTCAGCAGGTTTCTGAAGGGTTCTACACTACCAGCCAATCCCTTCTGGAATTCATCGCGTGTCCCCTCGTCTCCCAAACGCTCTACTTTCCACCGGAACACTTTCCTCTTTTTCTTACTCTCCGTCTTTCTAGATCGGTCGATGGTGGGGGGGGGGGGTCAAAGCAATATTTCAATATTCAAAATCCGGGTCCTAGAAGTAACAAAAAGTGCGTTAAAACGGGGGCGGAGGCGGTATAAAAAAATCAGTAAACCCCGCCACCTTTCGCACTCGGAACACCCAATCTTAATAGTCAGGTACCACGGTAAGTAGTACTTCTGATGTAGGTGTGACATCGAACCGTTTTCTTTCATGTAGCGGGTTTTTGGTTGAATGAACGGTGCGGTTTTAATGTTGCTGTCCTGTGTAACGGCTGCCTGGCGAAAATGTGTGGTTTTCGAACGCCCTGAATATCGCATCGCGAAATTCTTGTGGCTGTCTTGGGCATTGTAAGAAAAAGCTCACCGTAGGTACATCACATTGGATACCACACACCCCGGACCAAAAGTTCAACTACTCCACGACGACGAGGATGCATAAACGAAGCTACACGATTTCGGAAAGCTCTCCACGAGATGGTTTCAACGCCGTCAATTTTGGCGTTTTTTCTGCTGTGGAGAAACCGAACCTTGAAAATCGGTCCAGGGGGTGTGTTATCTTACTTTCAGAAATCTGCGAAGACTTGATGACTCACCTCTGAGAGAGATTCCATCTCAGGGGTGACGAACTGCTTGCAAAGGTCGTAACCGAGAGCATCAGCCAGATCGTTCAACAACGCCGCCGCCGTCATGCGCAACTCCTCCTGCCGACAAAAACAGGGCACAGCAGTGCACCATCAGATTGTATCCGACAAAATAGGGTACTGCAAGCAGTGCATCATTAGATCGTGTCCGACAAAATAGGGTACAGCAGTGCATCATCAGGTTTGTGACGCCGCCGCAAACCCATCCCCCAGATGATGTTGCCGAATAGAGAGACGGACAAGGACCGGCCGTATGTCATGACACCAATCCTGGCAATGGTGGGATCTCATTGTTGCGATCGAGCGGCGTCGGGGAAACAAAAACAAACGAATGGCATCGACGAACCAGATGCAGAAAATGGATAGGACAGGTGCAGCTTTGGCAACAAGACTAATCGACCGGCTTCGTGCTATGAAGTAGCGCGGTAACTTGGGAGAGACAAAGCCAGATCTACGTATGAACAGCCAGTACCAGAACATCGGAGGGGATCTGACGAAGACCTGAACAGTTGAAACAGCCGAGAAGACCAGACGAGGTGGATCACCCCGACCCCCGGGCACTACAGCAAAACAAGATACGCGAGCTGGATCAGACCGAGTGGGCGACCAAGGTGGGTGAACCAAGATCAAACGATCAGGATAAGAAGCAACGGGTGTAGGTCTCACTCCTCACTGTTCGCCTTCGACGTAGCGAGACCAGAAAATAACTAAAATCTCGAGGGGTGTATCTTGACGCAACCATTTGATTTAATTTTGTGTTCGATATTGAGCAGAGGTGAATCTAGAACCGGCAACACCGAGATCAGGGCAAGAGGCGAGAGTCTCCAATAAGAGAGCCCCCGAAGTAATGTCTCGCGAACCACACCAACACAGCACCAGCACGGACAATAACCTCTGCAACCACCGCAGCGACTTTAGTTTAATGGTACCGCTTTATTGCAATCGTCACCGTCGGAGCAGCAACAAACATAGAAGTATATCTCGGAGAAAGGTTTGTTGTTACAGCAGTACCTGTTCGTCATCGTGCGCCAGCTGCAGAACGATCGTGAGGACGTGATGCCCCAGGTCGATCGGCTTCATGAGGTTGGCGACTCCTACCAGGCTCTCCCCCGCCGCCTGCCGCACCTCCGCCTGAGCGTCCCCCAGCAGCTTCGCCAACGTCGGCAGCACGATCTGATCGTCGCGGGCACGTGTGCCGCCGCGGAATAGTGATGATGATGACGTCATTGACGTCACGATGACGTCATGCAGCATGGCCGCCATTGAGTCGTCACACGATGCACACGTAAGCGGTGCAAAAACCGACAACCGAGAACATAAAAAAAAAGACGTCATGCATGGCCGTCATTGGGTTGTAACACGATGCACACGTTATTTAGTACACAACTGACAACCCGGATCACAAAAACATACAGCTTTTTCTTTTATCCAGATCATCACAAGGATAAGGTTCGTGCAGAGCTCCGAACGCGAAACGCCCACAAACACCACGACCCCAGATGATCATTGGTCTACTTCTTGTGCTCTCGTCCCGTCTATTCTGGGCGCGAGCCTACATCGTTCGGTTCGGTATGTAGGTTACACGCCAACCGGGGTGGGCCCCACAGGAAGAAGACCGGAGTATTAATAATCGTGAATCTCCGTACAAAAAAGAAAAAACCTCAATTACAATTTTCTTCCTCCGGGCCGAAATATAAGGGAAGATGGCATATTTCCCGGCGGGGGGGGGGGGGGGGGGGGG